AAGGAGGAGTCGCACCTCAAAAGTCATTGCAGTTCTTTATCCCCCTCCCAAAACGTCGCGGGAAGCTCGGCGAGGAGGGACACGCGCTCCGGCGTACCCTGCCCTCGCCAGCACCGGCCGCTAGGCTCGTCCCGCGCCCCAAGGAGCAAGCGCCGAGTCTCCCAATTGGTGGACGCAGTGACACTGCCGCTGCGGCACCGAGAGCCCACACAGCCCCGGGGCTGGGGAGCCCGGAGGGGACGCGCAGGTGGCGGCGGAGGGCGGGGCGCGGTCCAAGGGGAGCGGCTGCGGCGCCAGCTCCTCCTCTGCCGCCGCCCCTGGCCACCCTCTCCCCGAAGCCTGTCAGCCGCGCCGCCAGCCGACTGCCGGGCGCACAGCTCCTCGCCTCGCTGGCTCGTGCGCGCGCACCCGGAAAGGGTGGGGGCGCCTGGAGAGTAGAGACGGCGCGGGATGGGGGCAGTCAAGTCATGTTGGCTGCTGCCAGCGCTGGAGGGACCCTTGGTTCTCAGTACTCCCCGAGCGGGTGGGTTCGTTCCATCCTGGTTGGCGATGAAGACATCCCTTTCTGTGAGCTCGCAGCTCCGCTTTGCGTGGCCGGGAATGGCTAGAGGGAAAATCTGGCCTGGAGACTCGGATTCTGTGACTTTCAGAGCCAGGCGGGCAATAGCGGGCTTGAGGAGGATATCTCTGGGAGAGAATTCTGAGTCATGGTTTCAGTGCCCACCACACTTCTCTCTACATTTTATTATAAAAGCATATTTACTTGGCAACGATATTCCACGACCTTTTTTCTTTTTTTCTTCCCAAAACCCAGGAGCTCGAACTACTGAAATTCAGCCCCCCCTGGCTGATCCATTTAATTTTCTGGGCCTAAAACAGACCCCAGGCTGCCAGCTAATAAAAATCAGGCAGCGAAGCCAAATGAATCTGGCGGTTTCCGCCTCATCATTTCCATCTCATTAAAGTTCTTTTTTTTCTTGAACTATTGGGTGTTTCGCTGCTTTTTGTTGGTTTATTTTTTGTTTTTGCTTATTTATTATTTATTGACTTTTAATATAGAAAAGTACATGAGAAATGTAACAGTTGTTTTATGTCATTTCTCTGAAATTCTGTGGCTACATTCAATAAGATCCTTAGGATGTTAGCTTGGTATAATCTACAGAAAAGTGGATATACAACAGTTAAATTAAAGAGCCACAAGGGATAGATAGTTTTTAACCACATATGTTGGTCAAGAGGGAAGTTGCCTGGGACGAAATCTGGTTTATTGAACATTTCTAACATGACAGGCACTAGGTCAGGCGACCTACCCACACTATCTCACTGAATACCCAGTTGAGTTAGCTGTTATTATAACCATGCTGCTGATGGAGACAAGGACAATCAAGGCAAGAGAGGCTTCTGCAAAAATAATATTTGAACACTCCCTTGGCCCCTGGACTGCAGCTGGAGAGGCTCGGGCATCCAGCTAGGGTCTTCCAGCTGAGGGGTCCTAACACCGGCAAAGGCTGACTCACAAGTGTGAGCATATTTGGGAACCAGAGATAGGCAACAAAGCAGGAGAAACAGCCTCAGAGTAATTGAGAAGTTTTGGGGTAAGATTCAGCTTCAGAGAGATCGCCCTCTCTAAAGCCAGAAAAGGGCCTGCTTCAAATCAATTGATGACTTTATCATGCATCATACGTGTGCCTCCCCTCAGCTCCCACATGGGCAGCTTGTATGTTGATTAATGACATTCGACACTCTGGATGGCTTGACACTCTAGATGGCATTTGACACCTTCATAGTCACGTCTGAACCTATCTTCGCATTGAAGTATTCCACTCCTGTAATTCTGCACTAATATACCAGCCTCCCATCAGCACCCATTCTTAACTCCAACCAAATATTCTCCAGCCACCAGTAACCTCCCTTTCCCTCTCCATGTCCAAGCCTTTCTATCCCCTCTTAAGCTCCCTCTCTATCATTCCAGGAGTCCACTATTACTCATTTATTTCAAACACATTCCTAATAACGTCCTCAATTCATGCACATGCATATATGTGTTGTCCCCAAGTTTGAATCCATCTCAACTTCTTTCTCTCTTTAAGCACCCAGGCAAAAGAACGCACCGAGGGAAAATCACACCGTCTCAGTGATAGGAAACATTACCAATTGGTGCTGTTTGACTTTAGCTGGGCCCTCGATTCTGCTCCAAAAACACTATTCCATGTCCCTAGCCAGCTCCTCTCCCCAGAGACAATCCACATAGACTGTAGGAGTCTTTGAATACCCCTCAATCAGATGCAACAATGTATGTGTGTATGTCAAATGGACATTTTCTTGGGAAAAGATGGACAACTTTTAATCAGAATCTCACCCTAAAAATTAAAGACTTGCCAAGTACATTATATTGGGTTGTCAGAAAAGCCATGATGCATTTTTGCATAGACAAAATATGTCATGACTTTTCTGACAATCCAATATATGCAAAAACATAAATATTTATTCTATGCAATCTGCTTCAGAAACTAACAAAATCACACTTCAGTGACTGTGTGGCCTACTCCCCAGGAGGTCTGGGCTCTAGCTCCATTTCTGTCACTGAGGAGAAAATCAGTTCTTGACTTTAAAACAAGAATCTTGGACAGCTCCAAAAATCTTTCCCAATTATAAAACTCAGTTAAACTACAAAAGCGTTTTAAAACAGGGTTGGTTGGGTGGTTGGTTGAGCAAGTTGAAAAGAAAGAAACTGATGTATTTCTGCCCATAATTCACCAAAGATTTTTAGTCCAAATACATTTTTCTCTCATCATCTGTGGTTCATATGAATATGCCTCTCACTTGACTCTCTCCCCTTTGCTTGCCTATTAAAAATCTCTTGCACCTCATCCTAGTCCATAGCAGAGTTAAAAATACTTGAAGGTTCACCAAGGAAAACCAGGGGCTTATCTCTGTACAGAGATTTTGCCAACTCTCTTACTCTCAACAAAAGTAGAAAGGCAAAGCCTTTACTCTCATCATACCTTGAGCTTATCAAAAGTTACAAGAGTTTAGAGTTTTTTAGGGGGATGGGGAGAGACATGAATCTACCTCTCCCTTCAATAATTCAATAGGGAGAGGGACCAGCAGTTAGCGAAACGGCTATGTGGCAGCACTCCCATGTAGTCGGCTGCGGTTCGCGTCCTGGACCCAGTGGCTTAAAAAAACTCATGCCGGGAACGTGTGCGTACATGCCCAAGATCCCGAGAGGAGAATGGTGGAGAAGGGATTGTGGTGTGCTAGGGGGTGATTTCTCGCTTTCTGTCTTTCTGTCTCTCTCTGTCTGTCTGGTGAGTGCATGCGCCCTATAGCAAAAACCTCTTAAAAAAAAAAATCAATAGGGAGAAATGTAAGAGGAGGAATAAGTAAATGGGGAGAGACCAGACTGTGCTGAGTGTGCCAGGCATGGTATAGACATCAGTTTAGCCTCACTACCTACCCACTGTGTGACTTTGGGCAACCTACCTAACTTCTCTGAGAATCATCTAGTTCCCCAACTATAAAACAGAAATATTATCTATACTATTACTTCATGAATGTGGAAGTATGAAAAAAGCTAGCATATGCAAATCACTTAGTTTAGTGCTAGGCATACAGTAAGCACTGTAGAAATAAGCAACCACCCAAATGAGAACAAGCAAAGGCTATTTATTCAGAGCAAGCTATAACAAGGGAGCCAGCCACCATCACTTGTGTTTGGCAGAAACTCAAGGCAGGAGCAGACAAAGGGAAGGCTTCGAGTGTGCCATGATTGGAGGTTGCTGGCCTGGAGAGGCCAAAGCAGGGCTTACTAGAAGCAGGGCGTCTTACGTGACTTGTAAAGGGAACATATTGTGCTTTCTCTGGATGGTACTAAGTTGGAAGCAGAGCAAAAATTAAAGAAGCTGAAGATTATTCATCATACTTTGGCCATTTGGGGCCAGTTGCTGCAGAGTTGTGGTTTAGGTTCCCAGGCAGGCCCTTGCAGAGATGCAGGATCAGAGTTCTATTGTCATAGATGGCCTAACCATCATTCGTTTGCTGTTCACCTTCTCGGTATTCAAAGAATATTAGTTATTAAGGTTGTTATTAAAATTACAACCAGAAAAGTCTAGGAATTAGTGAAGTTAGTGGAAACAAGCATCAAAACCAGATACAGCTAACTTTGAGACTTAGACCACACCCCTTATACTCTAAGGCCTTCTCCTCTGACCCAGATCTCATCAGCCAGCACCAATGGTTTCCAAAATGTCAGCACAAGGCAGCCCTGGGCTACAGGGAGAAAATATTAGAACTTCTCTATTCTAATGTTGCCATTCACACACACAGTCACATGTATATTATTTCTAAATCAATACTTACAATGGGTATGTATGCCTCACTTCTTTTCCTGCTGGGGTCCACCTGCAAAAATGATTGGCACCTCCGGACCCATTGCATGACAGACCTTGGATTGAATTTGCACTAAAATGCTTCCTTTCTTCTGTGGGATT